GTTGGAATGTAGCATACTATAAGGAATGACATGAGATAAAGCAGGAAGGTAGTATATTAGCTTACTATTTCTTCTGCAATAAATTACCAAAATTATTGTCTTCAAACAACACATATTCGTTACTTTTTAGTTCTGGGGGTCAGAAGTCCAGAGTGGATCTCACTGGACTAAAATTAAATGGTTGACAGGGGTCTCTTCCTTTCTTGAGGCTCTAGGGAAGACTGTTGTCATGCCTTTTTCAGCTTCGAGAGGCTGACCACATTCCTTGACTCATGCCCCCCCCAACCCTCCCTCCATCTTCAAAGCCAGCAAGGGTCAGCGGAGTCTTTCTCATATCACAGCATACTGACACACTGACTACTGCCTCTGAGCCCTCTGCTTTTAAGGACTCTTGTAATTTACACTGGGCATAACCAGATAATTCAGGATAATCTCCCGATTTTAAAGTCAGGTGATTAGTTACCATAATTCCATCTACTACCTTAATTCTCCTTTGCCATGTAACATATTCACAGGTTAAGGGAATTAGGATATAGACATCTTTGAGAGGCCATTATTCTACCTACTACAGGTAGGTTGGGGCTAAATTATAGGAATTTAAAATATAGCCATTTAAGATTTTTGATAAAAGGAATGACATGATCAAAGCAGTGTTTTAGGAGTTTATTCTATAATCTTTTCGCTATATAGAATAAAGGACTGGAAAGAAATCACCAACCCTGAGGTGTCTTTCCAGTTTTGTCATTGATCCTCCCTCCCTTATTTCTTCCCTCCCTGTTCCTCCTTTCCTTCCTTCATTTCTTCTAAAATAGTTTACCTTCATAAATCCTTAATCACAAAGAATTAGTTGTCCCAACCATTGATACAGCCACTATTTCTGATTCTGTCCACTTGAAGGTATTTCATTGTGTTACAGAAGGAATACTAGACTAGCAGTCAGGAGACCTGTGTTATGATTCAAACTTTGTCAATAATTTGATTTGTAACTTTAGGGATATTCTTTAGTCTCTCCATCTTCGGAGATGCAATTCTCCGTCTTTGTAATTGGGATAAATCATGATAGTCCATTAGACATGCCCATCTGACAGAGAGATAAAGATAACTGTATTCCAAAATAATGTAGCATATGTTTATTTTTTTGTCTGAAGAGAGTAACTGGCTTGTGATTTCAGAACTTTTTGTTTTTCCTTTTGTATGTTGAAGAACCAAGGATCAGACAAAAAATCAATAAAGAATAAAAAGCTCAGTGATGGATGCCTTGTCAACCTTATACTCTCCCCACCCTTTTTCCCCCTCTGCATATAGGAATCAGGACAATTATATCATAGCAAGTCCGATAATATTGTATAGACTTGTTTTTAAGACTAGACTACTAGACTGTACAAACCTTAAAAACCCTCACTTTGGGGAAGATAATTTAGTTGAATGTTTTCGTTTATGGATATGGAAGAATACACAGATTTCACTTATGCTTTATAAATGGCAAGGTAGACCACTGGTAAAAATCCTAAAATGTTTGTGACTCATAACTTTAAATTATTTGTTTTGAGTTGTTTGCAAACTTTCCCTTGGTCTATAATACGTAGATAAGAATGTATCAAATTCTAAACCTCTGCCCTCTGTTGTTGCTCTTATCAAATATTTCTTAGCCATAAAAAAGAAAAAATACATATGTAAGTCTTAACGACATGAAGGTTTCACATTAATGATACAGCAAGTCCTACCTCAGTACACGTGACATAGTAAGGATTCCAATTATGTACAATAGAAATATGATGCAAGCTACAAATGTGAGCCCTCTGTATAATTTAAAATTTTCTAGTAGCCACATTAAAAATGTAAAAAAAAAAAATAGGTGAAATTAATATATTTTAATCTAATATATCCAAAATAACATCTCAATATGAAATCATAATATAAGAAATTATTGAGATATTTTTTAAAATGTTATATTAAATCTTTGAAATCCAGTGCATATTTTATACATAAAAAACACATCTCAAGTCAGTCTAGCCACATTTCAAGTACTCATGCTGGACAGTGCAGGTCTTCTGCAAAGATATCCACATAATCAGTGCCTGAAATCTTAAGAATCTTTCCTTAAAGGCTCTATATTGCTACGTCTAATGCATCTGTGACAGTGGTCCTGTGTGCAAACCCCCCCCACACACACACACATAATCTTGCTCTGGTTCTCTTTTCTAGCTTCATACCATATTTGTCTCTCTTAGACATTTCTTCCTCCTATGCCACATAATCCTCTCCTTTACTCTGTCAAGGCCCCTTGTTTGTTTTACTGAGATTTTCAGGAGAGAAAGCACCATTAACAGTATGGCCTCCTACCTATTACCATACATCTGCAAAAATGTTTTACCAGTAGAAATGTAAGCTGATCTCAACAATATCTGAACTTTGGGGAAATGAAACTTTGTCATCTTAGGAAAAGATAGGAATCTCTGATAATAGTGGAGTCTGAGTGTTATAGGTAAAACTGGCCAGGAGTATATAATTTATAGGCTTTATATCTATTGTTCCATGAAATACAGACTAAGGATTAATGTGTTTTGCTATTATTACACTTTGTATTTAATCAGTCTCAGAAGCCAGAATGCTTAATAGAATGCTTAGAAATGGTATATAATTATACAAATTCAATTTTGCTGACTAGGTTACAGCAAAGGACCTTAATCATATATTCTTGCCAGATCACCCTGTCTCTCTTTTCCTTTCTCTATCTAATCAGTTCTTATATTTCCAGGGTATTTTTTATGTCATGCATTGTTTATCTCTCACAATGCATTATTTAGCCCCAATTTGTAAGTGCATGGACAATGCAGTGCTTTGTTTTGTTTGTTTTTTGCAAAGTAGCTCTGAAAGTCAAAGAGGATTGAATTCATTGGATTGAAGGTTGAAGTCAATCCAAAAATGAGATGAAGGAAACAATTCCCATTTACAATAGCATAAAAAATATTTAGAATTAAATATAAAAAAAGACATATAAAACTTGTACTTTGAAAACTGCAAAATGTTGGAAGAAATTAAAGAAGACCTAAATAATGGCAAGGCATCCCATGTTCATCTCTGTTTAATAAAATTAAGATACTTCCCAAATTGGTTTACATATTCAACACAACCGAGTTGCCCTTTTTTTGGGGTAGAAATTGACAACTTAATCCTCAAATTCATATGGAAATGCAAGGGACCCAGGATAACCAAAGTGATTTTGAAAAAGAAGAAAAAAGTAGGAAGACTCAAACTTCCTGATTTCAAACCTCTTATAAAACTACAGTAATCAAGACAGTGTGGCACCTGGTATAAGGGCAGACTTTCAAGTGATTGAAGACTCCCCTTGTTTCTGGGGCTCTGTGGTATTCTAAACTGATACACCAGCCTATTCTAGGCTTTTAAGGATTTGTTAAAAGTTTAGCGAATAATCTTCTTTCCCACTTGTGTGGTGGCCACTTCTTCTCATGATCTGCCAAAGGCAGTTTATGTGTTCAGTTTCTCTTTGGAAGGACTTGTCATTCTGTGGACTTTAGTTTTCTTGGTTGTCTTGTATTCTCAGCTGTCTGTCGAGTGAACTCAAGAAACACTATAATTTTATACATCAGCTGGTCTTATTGTTATGGTGGAAGAAATATTCTCTTTGTACGTTCTGTATCCTAAGTGTGGAAATAGCTTAGCCTGTAACAGATTCTGCACTCAGTTAAATTTTGTTTAAAGAGGGTTGAATTCATTGAATACCTAGGTGCCGTGTAGTATGCTAAGCACTTACTGCATCATCTCATTTAATCCACATAGCTGTCTATGAGATATAAGTATTATTATTATTCCTATTTTTTTAGATATAAAACTGAAGCTTAGTGAAGAAAAGTAACTAGAAGCACTTCAGTGAACATTTTTGTTGATTTTACTTAAGTCACCTTTCCCCTTTCCTCTCTCCTGGATAAAATTCTTGAATCCATTTTTTACTTCTCCAAGGAAAGGAGATATAGCCTTGGCATTGCAAGTTCTCATTTCCCCAGTTGATGGGGAAAGGGGCACAGTATAATAGAGGGAAAGCTTGAAGGGATCTAGTTGGGCTTTTCATTAACAAGAAGACACTCTGAAGGCTTTGGGTGGTCAATACTAGCATCTAGGTTTTATAACAAGTAAATGACAAAATGGCTCTCATGGCTTTGTTGCCACTTTCCATTTTCCCCTTTCCTTTCTGCTTCTAGTGTAAAATAGTTAATAGCCTTTCGTTTTTTCATAGGATAGTAGAATTTTAAGGGTTTTTTTTGTTTGTTTTTTTTTTAGAAAAAGAAAATAACCAAATTTAATACATGTATATGTATGGGAATACCACATACATGAAAGAGTCAGAGACCCCCACATGCATGAGAGGTTCCTAGAATTTTAAATATTTTTATTACTATTAATTCCTTTACTAGCCTGCTATGTGGCAATTCCTTTAGGCAGCTCTCATGCTAGGAGCCTTAAGTATAATTACTTAATACCATTTAAATTTGCCTTAACAAATTCCTTTGTAAGCTATAATCAACAAAAGGTGGACTCACAAAGTGCTTTTATTTTTAAATTTTTGTTTTTGTTCACTTCCAAAAGAAAAACATGAGTCTGATCAATAAGCTCAAATAATACAAATGTTATTAATATATCTCTTCAGCTATTTTCTGAAATTCATTTTCTAAGGTGTGCCATTTATAACTCACCACATTAATCATTCTACATTTTCTCATACAGTAGTTGATAGATGCAAGTTAAGTTTCATGCATTGCCTATCTTTGCTAGAAATTCAATACCTTTTAAAATATTCCACATGTATAATATGAACTGGGTGATAGAACCCTGGTCATTGTTGTATTTATGAACAGCATTAATACAGAGACAATGTTAAAGGAATAAGGAACATGGAGACAAGGAGGAAGGTTGTTTTAGAAAGATATTTTATAATGTTCTGGCTTGATGTGACAATCACTAATATGCTGCTTCTTCCTTAGTTATCAGGGAATATGAAGAATACAAAAAGCATCCAGGAACCTAGATTTGATTATTACAACAGTGAAGTTCCTGACATTGACCTCAGTGATTGTGAATTCCCAAATGTCATTGAAATTTATGACTTCCCTCAAGAATTTCGTACTGAAGACCTTCTACGAGTTTTCTGCAGTTATCAGTAAGTATTGCAAATGGTTGGGGATGTTAGGGAAGGTGGGATGAAGTTTTCTCAATGTCTTCTGAAAAATCATCTTATGTTTTCATATTCCCTGTTGCAACTTTAGCACAAAGTTTGTTTATTGTCTTTTCCAAGTCCATTAAAAATATTCTGTATTAAAACCACTCTTATAAGTTCCTTAGAAATGCCAAATAGTCATTCTAGACACCATTTGAGCATTTAGGAAGACAAATATTAATGATGACTTATAAATCTGTCTTCATGGTTCATTTAGTTCATTTATATTTATTGTAATTATTGATATACTGTTGACCCTTGAACAAGGTAGGAGTTAGGAGCTCCAACCAACCCAGTCAGTCAAAAATCTGCATATAACTTTTGACTCTCCAAAAACTTAATTACTAATAGCCTGCTGTTGACTGGAAACCTTACTGATAACATAAATACTTGATTAACATATTTTTATGTTATATGTATTTATGTACTGTATTTTCACAATAAAGTAAGCTAGACAAAAGAAAATGTTACTAAGAATCATAAGACAGAGACAGTACATTTATAGTATTGTACTACATCTATTGATACTGTAGGTTTTAAGAAATTCACATATAAGTGGAACTACAGGTTCAAAAACATCTATGTTCAAGAGTCAACTGTATTTGGATATATGCTTGTCATATGTTTTTGTGTGTTTACTTGTCCCATCTTTTTCTCCTCTTTCTTGCCTTCTTTTGGATTGATGAGGTATTTTTTTCTCATTCTATTTTTTGGGGAAATGATGCTCTGTTTCTATTCTTTGGTGGTTACTTTAGAAATTACAAAATGTATGCTTAACTTATGAGTGGCTAAAGTTAATATTTTTATACTCTTCCCAAACACCATAAAGGCTTTTAGATCCATTCCCCAATTCCATTCTTCACCTCATCCCCACCCCAATTTATATGCTATTATGATTGTTTTGATTCTTTTTAAGTTTCTCTCTTTTAATCTGTACTTGATATTACTGTTTTATATATTCAGCATTCAGATTTACCCACTTTCAGTGTTCTTCATTTATATCTTCTTGCATTTCATACTGAAATCTTTTTCTTTCCATATGTGCGGAACATATTATTTAGCATTTACTTTGATAGTCTACTGGTAAAAAACTCAGTTGTTTTTTGTTGTTGTTTTTTAATGCTTTATTTCAGCTTCATTCTTGAAAGACATTTTTGCTAGATATAGAATTCTATAGAATTCTATAGAAAAGTAGGAAGTTACTTTTCTCTGAGAAACTTGAAAATATTCTACTGTTTTCTGGCTTCCTTTGTGGAGGGTGAGAATTCAGCTTAAAGTCTAATAGCTGTTGCTTCTGAATGTAATTTTTTTTCCTTTGGATGCTATTAAGGTTCTCTTTGTCTTTGGTATTCTGCATTTTCAATATGATATGACTTTGTGTTTTTTATTTCTGAGATTATTTAGGCGCCTTAAATCAGTGAATCAACGTTTTTCATTGGCTTTGGAGAGCACTTGTGCATTCTCTCTTCAAATATTGCCTCTGTACTAGTTTCTCTCTCTTTTACCTTCTCAAAGATGCCAATTAAATGTATATTAGACCTCTCACTTGATTCTCACGTTACCTCTCATATTTTTCATCTCTGTTTCATCCTGATTAATTTTTTTAACTCTAGTTTCCAGTTCACTAATTTTTTCTTCAGCTGTGTTTAATTTGCTATTAAATCTGTCCATTGAATTTTTAAATTTCATTTTTTCAAGGTTCTCTAGGTCTTTTTTCAAATCTGCATAGTCAATTTTTAGTTTCTGGCTTTCTCTAAATATTTTCAAGATTTAAAAAATTTCTTTAAGTATATTAAACATAGATCTTCTATAGTTTGTATTTGGTAATCACTTGAAATCTTTTTAGTTCTGTTTCTGCAAATTCTCATTCATAGTACCTTGTTTTTTTAGAGATTTAGTTCCTTTTTTTTATCGTGAGCTGCCCATTTTCTTTGGAATTTTATTTATGGGAATTGAGGCCTACAGTAAAAGAAGAGGATTTCTTCTGAAAGGATTTGTCTTTTTCTACCAAGCACCAAGGGCACTAACAGTTCAGGAACACTGTAAATTAAATTATTGATTTGAAGTTACTCTGACCACTCAGTTAGAAATAGTCAAGTGGAGAATGATAAAAAAATGATTGTTACATGTCTCAACTAGTTTAACAACACTTATAAGTGTTCATTCACTTCATAGTCTTTGATGTAGTGCCAAGGCATTTTTGTTTTTTAAGTTATTGGTCTATTGGTAGAAGAGTTCTTGTATGTCACTGTGATAATATTCCAGTTTCATTTCTTTTTAAATGGAGTAAGAACTTTAACATACCTTCAGAATCATCTGAGTGCATATTGCTTATAGGGTAAAATGTTTTCTCTGTCTTTTATAGCTGTTTTGCCCAAACATAATTGTTAGTAGTTTCTTGGGATTTTTAGTGACTTTACCCTTTTCTGGTCTTCTAAAGTACTCAATTAAGTTTTTATAGACACAGTAACTCTTCTATTTCACACTCATATTTCATTGTTTTAATTTTGTTCAATTAAATTATGTAGTGAAATATAAATTAAAACTGATATAAGTGGGTTTGAAAACTATTGCACTGACTCTAGATATGTGTATCATCCCTAAATATATAGGAGAAGATAAAAGAATCAGAAGTATACCTTTGTATCTCTAGCTTATAAGAAAAAATAAGCTTAAGGAATAAAGAAATAATTCAGAAAGAAAATTATTAAAAGATTTTCAGAGTCTGAAAGAAACTCAGTATCAAGAAAGATTATATTTTAATGTCCCAGTATTGATAGTAAAAATGAACCAATTATGTTGTCTGATATTAAAATTTTAAATGTAAAATTCAGTTCATGTACCTCTTGAATTTGTAAGATTTTATATCAGTTAAAGGACAGCCTCCAGCTTTTTCTTAAAGGGCCAGGTAGTAAATCTTTTAGGCAACTCATCCATTGTTGCACAAAAGCAGCTATAGACAATATGTAAACAAATGAGCATGGCTCTATTCAGTAAAACTTATGTGTAAAAACAAGTGTCCTGATGACTCAGTCTCATTCATTACAGTTAAGAACAATTCAGTATCCAGAGCCTGTTCTATATAAAATGCATAATAGATTTTAAAAAGCAGTCAAGATTAAATCAAATTAGAACTGCTTTAGATTGTCATTAATAATGATGACTTTTAAAACCAAGGATCAGTTTTGTTGATGTCTAGACTTTCCTGAAGATTAGTTAATTCTAATGAATTACTAACTTCCCTTTGATTTGTTTCTTTTTAATCTTACCTATAAGACCTTTTTTTCTTATCAAATCCAAAAACATCCTCAAAAGAGAAGTATTTTAAAGGATTATAAATTGCAAAGTCTAAAAGACCCTCCAGAGCCCATGTAGATCTCTTTGTATCCTTTTGTGAACTATCTTATGATATAGATTTTTACTATTGAATTTTTTCACAGCCTCCAACCCCTGTGGTCACTTTATGCCTGGTTAAACTTACCCTTATATTTAGGAAATTCTCTAACTAAGCATCAAAGCTTCCTTTATTCCATTTCCCTCAAAGTAATTTTTTTCTTCACTGGTTTTTAAAGAGGGAAAATATTTTAGCAATTGTCTTTTGATAGTGCTTCATAAAAGTAGAAAAGGTCATGGTGCAAAAGTCTATAATAATGCCTGTGAGTCAAATACTATAGGTAGCTTTGTGTTTTAATCATTAATCACCATCTTCATTAATATTAATAATCTTTCTTACAAATATTGCTGTTAATAATAAAAAATGAATGTCATTCATTTACTAAATACCCACTGAGTGCTCAACACCATGCTCTTTGTCTTCTCATGGATGATCTTATTTCCATTTTTACAACAACTCTGAGGAAGTACTATGCCCATTTCTACAGATGAGCAGACCTAGCTTCAAGAGAGGTTAAACTCAGGATGGATGGTAGAGCCTGAGTTCATTTATATCTGACTCTTAAACACCGTGCTCTTTCCATAGTACTATGTTGAGTCCATGAGCAGTTTTAAGCTGCTAGCTGAAAAAATAACTGTCATACTATCATAACGATAGTCCTTATGTTCACTATATAGCTCTGCTCCAAAATAGATGTTTTTTTTAAAGGCTAGGTCAGGCTTTCTGATTATAGTTGTACTTTTTCTCTATTAATTTTTTTTCTTTCTTTGAATGATCTGTCTCCCTCTTTCTCTCTGTCTCTCTCTTTCTGTGTCCTGGAGCCTACATATGCATTAAATCCAGGTAATCTTCCCTGTCCGCCTCCTCCTCTCACATTCTCCTACCCCTCTTCTGCATCATCTTTCTTCCTCTTCTTGTTCTGTGCCCTTAAGAACATTTCTTGTAGATAGTGTGTTAAATACCTCCCCAAGGGACTTGTGAGGATTAATTAGTTGATCTATAAAATAACTGGCAATATAAAATACTCCCAGGTAGTTCTTTATGATGGTATTATTGCTTTTAAAATTCAGGGGCTCCTTCTGTCCTCCAAGCTGTTTTTTGTGTGTCATTATCCTCATTCTGTGCCCTGTTCAGTGTTTCTCATCCTGAAATGCTTTATGACACTACTTGAAAGTTATTTCATAAAGTAAATTTTATGAAATAAAAATGTGGTATTTTGTTGCAGGAAGAAAGGATTTGATATTAAATGGGTGGATGATACACATGCCCTTGGAGTATTCTCCAGTCCAATTACAGGTATTTACCCAGTGGATTTCAATGTTATTTTTTTATTGTCTGTTTTCTTGTACTACTTGTCCTTAGTTCCCTTTTATTTTCGCTAACTGGCATTTTATTCAGCCAGTATAGGTAATTGGCAGATACAGGTTCTTGAGGCATAGTGTTTTGGTACCCATGCTTCCCTTCTCCCTTTTCACCTAAATCCTGTAGTATTTAGAGAGATAGGCAACTCCTTTCAAGGTTATTTGCTGCATAACTGTCCGTTTGATAGTACATAAACAGATTATAGTTAGAGATTTAAGAAGCCTGTGTGACTAAATCTTGCTAGACAATTCAATTTGCAGTAGCCCTTTAACCAGTGAGAGGTTGTATTACCTACTTTCTGAATATATGATTGGGCCTTTTCACATGTATCATTGGTCTTATGATAGGTGTGATGCAGAGGCATTCAAAGAAATTATAGATTTTGGATCCTGTCTGAACCACCTAAATAGAGGTCTTCATGCTTATTCTGTAAAGGGCCAGATAGTAAATATTTTAGGGCATATGGTCTCTGTCACTACTTAACTCTGCTGTTGTAGCAAGAAAGTAGCTATAGACAATATGCAAACCAATGGGAATGGCTTTGTTTCAGTAAAGCTTTATTTACAGAGTCAGGTGGTTCGCTATACTTGATCAGGGAGCCATAGTTTGTTGATCCCTGATCTAAAATAATCACTGCCAAGTTGTTCCTTACAGATTTTCTAGAGCTTATCATCTCCTTTACTTGCCATGAATGAAAAGAAAAAAAGTGTAACATCTAGGGAATACTTATTAAGAACTAACCTTAAATTTTCCTTTGCATCACTCTTCATGTCTTCTACTTCCTTATATTTATTCCTCTTTGCAGCTCGTGATGCTCTGGGTAGTAAGCATACCATGGTGAAGATCCGGCCCTTGTCACAGGCCACAAGAGCAGCCAAGGCCAAAGCTAGAGCTTATGCTGGTGAGCCTATAATCTCAGGGTGTGTTTTTTTTCTTGTCAATAGTAGTGTTATTGTTTTTTTTCAGCACTTGTACAGCATCCAGAGTTGTAAAGACATGACTTTTATTTTTAGTGTTAAAGGAAGTATATTTTAAGGAAAAAAGAATATAGAAAAGGCTATATAAAGGTGTAGGAAATGTGGCATCTGAGCAGCCACTTGGAGAGAATGGGAGATCCTAACTGCAAGCTATGCAGCAATCATTTTCTGATGACATCCTTATCTAGTTTACCTCTGTGTTTAGCTGTTTGATAGTGACTGTAAGAAATTGTGTTAATACAGATAAAGAAGCCAGGGTTGTTTGTGCTTTGCCATGTTAATTTCCTCTGATCATCTATCAGGCTCATATTAATTACTGCTGATGCAGCCCTTGTTAGTCTATTTTGTATGTTAATTACTGAGTTAAGTCACTTGGAGCTAGAGTGCTTTCCCTTCCTTACTCTCTCCTATTCCTTCCCTTTCTCCCATTCAGAGTTCCTCCAGCCAGCCAAGGAGCGTCCTGAGACTTCTGCAGCCCTAGCTAGAAGGCTAGTCATCAATGCCCTTGGGGTTCGAAGTAAGCAGAGCAAAACTGACCGGGAAGCAGAGCTCAAGAAACTGCAAGAAGCCCGAGGTGAGTTGAAGTGATGGTGTTCTTCTCTAGTCCCTTTAGAGCTCACTATACAACATATGTTTAAAAAAAAGAAAAAAAAGAATGAAGCTCATTTCATTTTGTCATTTCCATTTCCTAGGTAGAAAACATTATTTGCTGTGGTTTTTCTAGCCATGATTGCCATGGTATTATCAAATGGTTAAGATCTTAGGTAGAAGACAAATTAAGGAAAAGCGAGCCACTGACATTGATGATGATAACTGTAGGAGTTATTTTTTTGTAAAGACAGTCCTGAGTGGCTCCATTAGAGTACATCTAGATTAACCTAGCTTGTGATTATTTTTCAGTACCTAAGAGTTCTCAGAAAATATTTCAACTGATTCACAAGCAGGATTTTTCTTTCCCCATAGTTTTGAGTTGAGGTTAAAATCTCTCTCTTACTGTTATAGGCTATTGACTTGTCTGTAAAGGCTTGGGACTCTCGCTTTGTACTTAAATACTTTTTATCAACCTTCAGGCTTTAGACAGTCTCATTGCCTTAACCCATGATCTGTAGAATCTGTGAAGGCAATTTGTTCTGAAAATTCCACTTACTGAAAAGTAACTTCATTTTTCCATTAAATGAATTGAAGTTTCAAACTCTTTGTTTATTGCCAGCCTAACAAGGCCATTAATACTTCCTGTCCACTCTGCTTCGGTGATAGCAGGGAGCTTGCAGACTCTCGGCTGCACTGGCCAGATAACCAGTGACAGAGTGTGTCATGGAGGGTGCTAGAGTTTCAGAGTAGAACCCAACTAAATTTTGAAACCTTAATTATTATAATGAGGCAGTTTTGATTTTTCCAATGCATGGTTTACTCAGGCCTCTTACAGACTATAGAAACAGGAGAGGATTCATCTGCTTTTTATAGATGGTAATGACATAATAGATTAAAGGAGAACGTGCCATGTCCTTAACCCTTAATTAATTGATTATCTTTGAAGAAAATGATTTCTCTATGATAACCACACAGTTATCTCAGAAGATCAATAGAAGGTAATAACAGTGGTATCTATAGAAGGAGATATGACTTTATTTCAGTATATCATGCTTTTCTGCATATCTCTACAGACAGTGCAGTAGCGGTTTTGTATGGTATCATCTGAGTATTCCCCTCTACTCTAAGCACATCAGCATGTACTCTGCTTGAAGTATTAAGTACCCAGCTCTACAAAGGGCATTTCAGTGATGCAATTAAAAATGGGACTGTTGGTTAAGTGGGTACCCTGTTACATTTTAAATGAAGGCCTTTAGTTGTGAATAGGGACCCACTATGATAAGTTTCTACTATCTATTGGTGCTGAGACTGTACACATTATACAGGACTCCTCCTTTATTATGCTTCAGAACTTTCCCATTCTTTGTATCTGAGAAAATACATATGGAAAATTCCTGATTTACCTCTTTCTGGCTTCTTTATGTGTTGAGCAGATACCCTGGTGCCTGCCTGCATGCACCCCAAGGCTTCTCATTTAGCAAAATTTTTTTCTGTGGGAATTAAAAGTACTGTTTAGGTGTTAAGCAGAACATGTATTTTCCCTCCAGACTTTCTTTCACTAGAGGGGGAGGAATCAATATAGCATAGTGGATAACATTATAGACTCTGGCATCAGACTCTCTGGGTCCCTATCTTAGCTCTGCTATTTATTGGGTTTGGGCAAATTAGTTACTCTCTGGAATCTTCTGTTTCCTCATCCATAAAATGGAAATCAAGTGAGATAATACATAAAAGATACGTAGTCATCTTCAAAAACAGTAGGAATGTTCTCCCTTCTGTTTCTGTAGGCCTAAAAGTAGTATGTGACAAATGATAGCTGCTGCTGTTTTTATTAGTAATGGTAAATGGAATTATTGTTTTAGTTTCTCTTTCTGAGAGATCATTATTGGTGTATAAAAATGCCATAGATTCCTGGGTGTTAATTTTGTATCCTGTTACATTGCCGATTTTTATTAAATCTAGTAGTTTTTTGGTGGAGTCTTTAGAGTTTTCTATGTACAATATCATGTCATCTGTAAATAATGACAGTTTTGTTCCTCCTTTCCAATTTGGATACCTTTTATTTTTTCTTCTTGTCTGATCACTGTGACTAGGACTTCCAGTACTATGTTGAATAAAAGTGGTGAAAGTGGACAACCCTGCCTTGTTCCTATTCTTACGGGAAATGATTTTAGTTTTTGCCCATTGAGTATGATATTGGCTGTAGGTTTGTCACATATGGCCTTTATTATGTTGAGGTATGATCCCTCTATTCCCACTTTGCTGAGAGTTTTTATCAAAAATGGGTGTTGGATTTTGTTGAATGCTTTTTCTGCGTCTATTATTGATAGATCATATGATTTTTGTCTTTCAATTTGTTTATGTGATGTATCACATTTATTGATTTGTGAATATTGTACCAACCTTGCATCACTGGAATAAATCCCATTTGGTCATGGTGTGTGATCTTTTTAATATATTGCTGGACCTGATTTGCTATTTTGTTGAGGATTTTAACATCTATGCTCATCAGGGATATTGGCCTGTAATTCTCTTTCTTTGTTGTGTCTTAATCTGGTTTTGGAATTAGTATAATGCTGGCTTTGTAAAAATAACTTGGAAGTGTTCCTTACTCTTAGATTTTTTTGGAATAGTTTGAAGAGGATAAGTGTGTTAGTTCTTTTGAATGCTTAGTAAAACTCCTGTGAAGCTGTCCGGTCCAGGGCTTTTTTTTGCTGGGAGTCTTTTTGATTACTGCCTTAACTTCATCAGTTGTTATCAGCGTATTCAGGTTTTCTGCTTCTTCCTGATTCACTTTTGGAAGATTGTATTTTTCTTGAAATTTGTCCATTTCATCCAGATTATTGGCATATAGTTGTTTATAATATCTTTTTTATCTTTTTAATGAGACGTCTAAGTCTTAGTGCTTAAAACAGAGGTTCAGAAAATTAAGCTACTCTGGAAAGAATTGAGAAAAAGGAAGTATCTGATTCATTTTAAGGAAATTATATTGTGTATATATAGAGAATAAGAACTTTATTTCATACGACCGTGAACATAGGGAAAATATTTTTTAGTCCAGCAGAGTGCATAGCAGATTAGAACTACCCTGAGGTGGGAGATGAAAGCATAGGTCATCCTTGAGTGCTTTTTTCCCCCAAATTTTTATTTTTCAGTTATAGTTGTCATACAATATTATATTATTTTCAGGTGTACAACATAGTGATTAGACATTTATATAACTTATGAATTGATCACCCCAATAAGTCTAGTACCCATCAGATACCATACATAGACATTAATATTGACTATATTCCCTATCCTGTACTTTATATCCCTGTGACTGGCAATTTTGTATATCTTCCCTTCTCCTTTTTTCACCCATCCCTTAACCCCCTTCCCATTTGGCAGCCGTCAAAATATTTTTAGTACATACTTGTGTGCTTTGTGTTTGACTTAATCACATGTTTTAACCCAGTGATTCACACTAAATGATAAAACCACATTTTAAAGACCAAACTCAAGAATAGGTGTAAAATTTCCCCATGTACCACTTATCAAAACGCTTGATTCTCACCTGAAATTGGAGATAGGTATTATTACTTCCTAGAATAAGCTACCTTCTATAACAGCATGGATGGACCTAGAGGGTATTGTGCTGAGTGAAATAAGTCAGACAAAGGAAAACATGCCATGATTTCACTTATATGTGGAATCTAAAAAACAAAATAAACTAATAAGCAGAACAGAAACAGACTCATAGATACAGAGACCATTTTGACAGTTGCCAGATGGGAGGGGTGTTGGGGGATGGGTGGCAAAGGTGAAGGGATTAAGAAGTACAAATTAGTAGTTGCAGGTCCAGGGGATGCATAGTATAGAGAATATAGTCAATAATATATTTTTTAAAAAAATAAGCTACCTTCTCATCTTGAAAGCTTGCTATAATTTTATTTCATAACTTATTTCCATTTTACTCTTGGAGATAGGTGATTAATTGGTTGGTCCTAAAAGTCCATCTTTTAGGTTACAGGCCTGAAATAGTAACTAGACAATAATTTGATCCCCTAGTTTGATGAGTGAAGTCACTAAGAACTTAAAAGTAAAATCTTGTCTATAGGATAGTCAACTGTAAAAAAGAAAAAAAAAAGTAATTACAGTTGCTACCTTCTGAAATTATTTTTAGGCATTCCATTTTGCCTCAAGGACAGTACTGCATTGCTGACTCATAATCTAGGTCTTGTGGCTTTTTCTTGGTGTCTTTTCTCCCCTGTGAAGATGTGAAGCTCCCTTCATTTCCAACCACATTTCCTTTCATTTTAATGTGGTCTTTTTCTCTAGAATGCATTATTTTCCCATATTTTTGGTGTCACCTGCTGTTTAATAAATTTAACGTCCCTGGCCTAGATCAGAGATGAAAGTGTTAATCCTAAGACTAACTGACCATTTCACCAACTATTGCTAAATAAATAGCATATAGTCCTTTGTTATGACACTTAATACATTGCTAATCAATTCACTCCCCAGAGTTATATATCTCCCAACACTTAAGTGATCCAGACTATGTTTTCCCAGTATATTAATGATTATATAGATAGCTCGGTAAGCCTAAAAATCTAAAACCTTGCTAAAATTAAGAGGTTGCTTATATTTTCCTTTATCTACCAGGTCTGACAAACCACAAAAGAAGGCAATTATATTAATTTGACCAGACTTGTACTTCAAGTTTTCAGGTTGATTATTACTCTGTAGGTTGATGCAAGTTGATTTTGTGATGATTTTCTCCGTTATTTTTTTAGAAGTATATTTTGAAAGTTATAATTTGTATCCCTTTTCTTTATTTTTCTCAAACATGACACCAAACTGGCCCTCTTTTAATTTATAACACTTTTCTGTTCCCTCAGTGAGAAGTGGCGATTTCAGTCAATTCATTTCATATAATAATTTCTGCCTATTTATTATACTGGGAAATGAAAGTTTTTAGGGTCAGTTATGTGTGAGTGCTTTAGGTTAATCATTTCGTACTAATTCTTCTATTCTTCCTTAGTTCCTTGCCCTTATGGCTGCTGTTGAGCTTTCTCTCTATTTAGTTTACTTTCTTTAATGGTTGGAGGTAAATAATAAAAGCTTTTTTCATGCAGTCTGTCAGCTATTATCTGCTTTCCTTTCCATTTAATAATAGGGACAGTGTGTTTCTTTATCTTTCTGTCAATACATTTTCAGGTTTTTTCCCCCTTTTCTTTGTAGATACTTTCAGATTATATTTTCAGAAGTCAGGATAGTGGAAAGAGTGCTGGTGTGAGAATTATGGACCTGGGATCCAGCTTCAGTTTTTCATTGATTATGTAACCATAGGCAAGTCTCTTACCCGGTTATCTCATACGGTTTACAACCAGAATTTCTTCTTATATTTACATTTGGTAGCAGATCTACAGTCTTTTATCAAAAAGCATTACGATAGGAAATGTTTCAGAATTTAGAAATTTCCTAATTTTAGGAAGATAATGTGGTTATCTTAATATTTGTTTCATAACACCAAAATCAAACACATTAGCATTGATATTTCTACAGCAGTGTATGGCATTTGTAAAGGCTATAAACAGCCATATATCCTTCAGGTTAGATTTACTACCAAATGAGTTTTGGCCCAAACTTTAAAAACAAAACTTTCAGAACTGCTTTGATTTTAGAATTGTGGATTATGGGCCACTTTTCCCATATTGCCTTTCTGATTTAAGTTTCCGAGCTTATTGAAAACTTTGAATTCTAATAATTCACTTTTCTAGTTCCTTTACTCTTTGAATCCAGAGCCAGTGTTTGATTGCTTTCACATAAGGTTGCCTTTGCCTTTAGATACCCTCCTAACTTTCCCATTCATGAGAATCAGAACTACAGTGCCTTCCTAAGAAATGTGCTGTTTCCTAGAGAATCCCAACCCAATTCAAGCCTGTCATAAAGTCAAGTCACAGGGCACTTAAGTAACTAGCCTTCAGTTTGGAATTTGCTGACTCCCATTTTAAAAAAACACACACTTTTTTTGCCTCTTGTAATTTTGCTGCTATATTCTGATCATGCCACAAGATGGTGCCCAAATAGCAGCAAATTTCTCTTTCTCACATGTACAAGTGCCAGCCAGCTTCCTGACCAAGTTCTTTGACCTTCACATACAGTCAAAAACAGTACAGGAATTTTATGAGATTTTGCTGATTTGGAAAACTTGAATAGTAGCAAGTGTTAACTCTAAACTCACCTTGTTTTCTTTAATCCCCCTGGTTTATGACTTGAAAAATCTTTACAGACATTATCTGAAATAATAGCCCTCAAAAGGAAGAACTTAGACCTCTCATCTACATTTTATGGTGTCAAGATAAATGACAAGCCATGAAATTAGAACTGGTATTGTGGCACCTAATGAAGTGCTTGGGCCATTTCATTCATGTGTGGTCTGTATTTTCTCAGGTTTTGGTGAAAATATTAAATGGAAACTAAGCTATTATGTTAAAAATTAAAGGTCGATTGCCCAGGTATATGCAATTTTAATTTTTAGAATAGTCCTTAGTTTTCCTCCATTATATGTGGTCATTTTTCTATGTTGGAATTGTATATTCCAGAAGATTTCTGGTTCCTGAAAGTGCTCTCATTTCAGTATTTTACTGAAATTCAGTTTGCCTCTGAAATATTTTTTTCATAAGATTGTAATAGGGAAGATGTAAGTAAAAGTGTGACTACCACTTCCATTTGAGCAAGAAGTTAGAAGAAGAATTTTGAAACATATTCTTCACCACTATTGAAGTATTTGTAAAGATCAGTAAGCTTGGAATAATGGGCAATTATTCCAAGTGCTAACACAGTTGAGAAATAGAATTAAAATAAATATCAGCAAGACTAGAACCTGGGTCCTGCTAGATATCTGACTTATTCCATATACTTCTTATTTCTGTTAGCCCCAGGTCTTTCTATTATATGGTAATAGTAACATTTTCATTTAACAAAGCCCTTGGAAAGTTAAAGATATTAACTCTTGGAATCCAGTTAGAGAAGACAAGGAAATCCAGCTCTCTCATGATTAGTTTGCCTTGTAATTGGGGTTAAGGGAAAGTCACTGGTTATATGAAGTACACTGCCACTTTTAACATTGCCCTAATTTACAGAGAGAAAACGGATGGAAGCCAAGCAACGAGAAGACATTTGGGAAGGCAGAGACCAATCTGCAGTTTGAACATCACTCAATGAAAGGGATAATTCCATGAATTCAGAAAATATTTCCAGTTTCGGATAAGAGGATCTTTCCAGAGCTCTGTGAACATGCAGATGTGCATGTTAATGAAAGAAAGAGATAAAGTGATCAAGGCAAGGACTGACTGGTGTAGAAAGAAGACAGACTCCTGTCTATCTTCATTCCTGAATGCAGTTCTTTGGAATTGCCTTACTGTATTGGGCATTGAAGGGAGCCATCAGCTTGGAAGAAACTTGGAAAATGTGACTTCTAGGAGTTCTCTGGACAGGGCATGCCATGTTAGCATGGGTCACAGGATGTTTTAAGGAAATATGAAACAGAGGATTCAAACCTGTGATGATGGGAGATTTAGGCCCTGTAAAACCAGGGTGTTCTTTAGTACCTCACAAAGCTGAGAACAGCAATATTGAGGGGAGGGGAGGGAGCAGCTAGTACAAAGATACAGAACAGTATCAGGTGTACTTGGGATTCACAGAATCTACATGGCCGGTTCCAGAACTCCCAAATTAGTGAACTGTAGCAGATGTGGATATTTGGACTTCAGAATTTGTACTAAGGTAGCTGAGTGCCTGGGGCTTCTCCAGCTGCACAGCAGCCAGGGACATACCAGCTTCATTCCTTATAGGAAGCCAGTCTTGGGAGCTATATGCTAGTTCCAGGTTGAGTAGTACTATCATGTTTTAAGAGGGAGACATTAAAGTCCATTTTATGACCTAGATCACTGGTATTTGTCAGTTTTGTCATTTCCACAAAGAAATTGGAAAGCAGCTCTCCTCATCTTTATCCCTCATAATACTGTGTGTGGTTTCAGTGTATCTTTTGATTTTATTGTACCCCATTGAGCAGAGAAGTGATCATCTCTGTCCCAGAGTAGACTACAAAAGTGCCGTTCCTGAGATTGGTATGTGGCAGCTCTTCTTCCCTTCTTGCCCTCCCTGTGCACCCTGACTCCAGTCTCCTGCCTTTTCCCATTTCTATCAAATCTGACATCCTGTAGGAAATATCTGGCATACAGCATGTTCTTGGTATGATCACCTCAGCCTGTGCAAGAGGCACTTTGGCAAACAGCACCAGACCATCCATTACAATGAAAAGCAGCCAGAATAAAACAAACACCTCTGGGCAGTGAGAGATTTCCTCCTAAAGGACACAGACAAGTCAGAGCTGTCACTTCAGGCTTTATCCATTTCATATCTGCATTCCCAGTGTTTTTGAAAAGTAGCTCTGCTCTGAAGAAATGATAGTGCTAGACCTTAGCATGCTGAGGTAGCAAGAAATAGTGTTTCATTGTACTTTTAACTAAGGCAATAGCCTCATTTTTATATTATTTATTGCCTGTGACAATGATGGATTATTAGCATTGCCTAGAACATGGTGGAGTGGGGCTCTTTTCAAATGTTCCTCAAATGACATTGGCCTTGGGTCTTAGTCCTGACACAACTATCCCTGCTGCTATTCTGGTCTAGGAGCCCTCTTGCAGTTTCTAGGCATTATTTTTTTCAATAAGTCCTTCTCTTGGCCCTCTGTCCCAGTACTTAGACCAGTGCCCTTCTCTGGCTTGCAACTGCACAGCTTGTGCTGTCTTCACAGAACAGACTTCTCTAAGATAGGTAGGTCTGGTGGAAAAATATGGCTGCATTTTAAAGGAAATGCAAGTAATTGTAACCAGGCTTCATACTGAATGGTATACCTCTGAGGTATAGCTTTGCTCTGTGTTGATTCTTTAAGGCAGAGAGTGACTTTGGGCAGTAAAAAAAGAGAGGTTTGCCCCTATCACTTGCCGTTGAGAGGACCTCCCCTTTCTAACAGCATTTTAGCTTTTAAGGGCATTATTAATGGTAACATATTACCCCATGTTTATTGCCCAGTTTTCTTATAGTCCTTATAATTTCTAGAAGTTACTTTTTTCATTCTAATGATTTGTAGTAGGTGGCTAGTAACTTGTGTTTTTTTGTTTGTTTTTTTCCAGCTAATAATCAGCCACCTCTAACTTTCAGACTTACCCTTATAACCAGACCCAGAGAAAGGTGTTTTTTTTTAGTTTTTTTTTACCCAATATTGAAAGCTGTGAAGTGCTGCTGCTTCTACCATTAGTAAAGAATGTGTTTTTCATTATCTTTTTCTAGTAGTTGGGATTGATGTATACTGGCTAGAGGTAAGAGGGCCTGCCATGGACCAGCATGGACTACATTGAGCTTGTCCAAATGGGAATAAAATCTTTGGCCATATCTAAACCATGCCTTCACAAGCTGAGCTGACAAGCACCCTGTAGCTGCCACTGGCTCCTTTGTTAGATATTTGAGAAGACAGTGCACTCTGCTATGCATATATGTTGCTTCATATATGTTGAATGTCTGCTTCCAAGATTACCTGGAATTTATAGTAGAAAGGTACATTCCCCTTGAGTTTGAATATGCTCTGCATAGAACAAAAGTCTTTGTAGAATAGAAATAATTTAGGCTTCTGAAGAGTAAGCTGAAGTTCCTAGTACTTTAGTTTCTCTGAGACTAAAGTATGCTGAGGTGAAAATCTTCTGACATTTTTGGTTCTGTCTGGAATTTGGTGGTTGGTATTCTGTTAACATTCCTCATCTAGTTACAAGTCATGCCAGCCACCAGTCTTCCCGTGCCCTTCCCTTTCAACTCGGAGGTGTAACAGGACAACCCTTGTATAGCTTTTTCCAAGAATTAGGACTGGCTGCACCTATCAGACATGTGATGTGGGCAGCAAGACTGAGACCAGAGCTGGTGGCTGGCTGCCTGGCCTGCTTTTCTGGCCTTCTTGGAAACTGGATCCAACAAGAACCTGTGGGCAACTTCCCTGCCTGAATCTAGTCATCAGTCACCACATGGTCCCCCACTAGCTGCACATTCTTTCACAGACCATTAGCTGCATGTGCGAATATAATGTTGTTACTGTTTGGGAGATGTCTGCTGGCTCCAACAGGAAATCAGTCCTTCCCTTGTTTACCTAAACTGCTGTGCCAAAATATAATGCTCCCTCTGCCTAATGAAGGAGATGAGGAAGTTGAAAAGCGAGAAGGTAGAGAAGAAGGAAGAAAGCATGCCTTTATATTCATAGAGCATACCCCAGAGCACGTCCCTTTTTACTCTCTAAGGAGGGGGTGGCTCATGATGTGGGGAGGCAGGGAGCACTATTGTAAATCTGCCCCATCTGCTACCATTCATTTTGACTTCACAGTCTCGGCTATAAAAGTTTCCAATCCTTGCTCTTTACCTTCTTGCCTCCTACCTTTCATTCCTTAACCTTTCCAACCCCATGTTTCAGCAGTGAGCCTGGGGAGGGAATTGGGAAGCAGACGGTAAGTAGGCTGATAACTGATCAGAGAAATGTAGTGGGGCTGTTGTGAGTAGTGTGTGTGCCCGGGTGCATCCTAGTCACCAGTTCAGTGGGTAAAGGGGTAAAGTTAGTGCACTACAAAAAATCACAGCTGGCCTTGTCTTTGTAACAGTCCATAGTGAGCAACTTTTATTGGCATTGGGGTGTCAGACCTGTAAGGATTATCTTTTAAGTGTGTCTAAGTGGAGAAAAGATTAAGAATCATGTCCAAGAAGACCATGGGATTTTATACTACCTGAGCAAGAGCATATCACAGCCACATCAAGAAGGGATAGTGGCCTTTCCTAGGTCTTAGTCCTTAACTAAATTAAATGTTCCCTCATAGTCTCCTGTCCCCCACTCTACCAGACCTGTGTTCTTATTCCTACAGAGATGAGTGGCTTGTTTGACTGACGTTCTTTACATTGCAAAAATTTATTCAATGCAAAGTTCACTTCAGAACCTTGGTTGAGACCAGAAATGTAGGCCAGTCCTGAGATGCACAGTGATCTTGAGGGGATGTTTTGTTGCCTACCAGGTGTACAGCACATAGTTTTTCTTCGGCAGAGGCCATGGCAGGAGCTGGACTCCATATTACCAAGCAGTCTTTCTGCTTGACCTCTTGTTGCTCTGTGGGAAGGCCCTATCTGGCCACTTCTGCAAATCTTGCCCCTTCTCAAGAACTCTAACTGGTGGTGGTGGCCCGTCAGGAGATAAAGGGATGCCTGAGGCCTAAGCTTCCAGGGATATTAGAAACACCCATATGTACAGTAGGATAAGGGTAAGGGCACTAAAGAACAGACTCACAGAGAATATGACAGGTGAGTTTTGAATGAGGATAGGTCAAGCAAGGAAATGAATTCACAAACTTCTCTGCCGGTTGTGACTTTGACACAAGTTGTGTTGCTTTGATCTCATTGCAGAGAGCTAATCCCACCTCTTGTGTATTGGTCCTGTCTTTTACTCCTCCAAGACATTTGCAGAACACTATTTTAGGTGGGGGACTGGGCCATAGTCCAACACTAAGGAACTGATTACTCCTGAACCAGGAACTCTGGGGCAAAATCCAAGAAAGATTGGGTCTCCTTATGGAAGAGGAGCTTAGCTGAACAAAGCCTGGAGGGTCATAGTCCATAGACCAAAGGCCCTTAGGGGACAGTCCTAGAGCCATCCCAAGGGAGCAGTGCCATCCTGGCTTGGTCATCTTGCCATCAAAAGGCTTCCTGAGCAGTTGTTGGCGCCCCTTGGCACTGGCCCCTTTCCCTCTGAGTCAGGGTTCTGTGAAGGGCATGGCTCCAATAAGCTGAGGTATCTGGTGTGTGGGCAGCAGCTGGGAGTGTGCAGTGATGGCTTCAGATGAGGTTGTTCCTGAGACGTTGCTCCTGCTCCAGGGAGAGCTCTGCATTGGCTCGATATGAATCCCCTGGGGCGAAAGGGAAACTGGTAAGTAACCAACCCTACCAGTCTCATCCCTTCCCTGACAACTTCACAAACACACACAGACATTCTGCTGAGTTCATCCTTTATATCAGGTCTGTCATGTGCACAGACCCCAATTCATTCTATAGAAACAGACCCTGACAGGTGTGTAGTTTCAGGGACGTTGGGAAGAACAGGCTATTGTATGGAAACAGCTGTGCTGGTTACTCTCCTTTGCCCCCTCCAGATTCAGTCTACCCTGATTTTTTTCTCTCTGTGCCCTGGAGAACTGACCCCTAGATTGCCTCACCCTGGCTCTCATCCTCTGGTTTCTGGTTGATTTAGGTCAGTGGGAAGCAACAGCAAGAGATTTGGAGGGTGGAAGGCGTGAGAAGTTGGAGTATTTCTTCCCTTGTTCTGGCACTGATGGTCTACTGTAACTCCAGGTGAGGTTCTCCCTCCTCTACAGCTCTAGCTTTCATCCCTTCAAGCCTAAAGGTGAATAGTTTTCCACTCTTGCTTTCCCTGGATGTTTCAATACCTCTTGTTTCCTTAGTCTTACACCTCTATAAATAGTTTGTTTATTAAATAACTTCAGACTCTCATCCAAGTGTGCTGTCTCTTTTGTGCAAGGACCCTGACTGGCCATAACTGCATTGTTTTTCTTTCCCTACTCACTGTCCTGGATCCTCTGCAGCCCACTGCCAGCATTATGGAGGATCTGCTGTCTCCGTATGCACAGCCTCCGATTCCAATTCCTGGTTCCTCTCACATTTCTGTCTCATTGAATGGCAGCGAAATTTACTCAGTCACACAAATTCAAACCTTAGGCTATTTCTTCTTCCTCTACCATATGCTGCCAGAGTTATCTTTTGAAATAAGATAGGTTTTTGCCCCCTTGACTGTAACTCATCAATGGTTCTCAGCAGCCCCCAGAATAAAGTCTGTTCTCTTAGCAGG